AGAGATAAATAAGATTGAATCAGTACATCCATTCAAATTATAATTTATCCTTCTAGGGCAATTTTTGGTCAAAATGAAGAAAAAAAGAATCAAATCGCGTCGGAGCGTGCTCCTCAGGAATTAGGGAAAACAAAGCTTTTAATCCTAATGAGGAAACATCAGAGGCCTTATTTGGATATTTTGAGAGAATTGTTATAGAGGCTGAGTTAAGCTAATGATGAATAGATACGAGTATGCATAGCATATTACTGTATGATATATCTAAACTTTAAAAGCATTACTATTTTAGGTGACTATTTCTCACACGAAATAAATAACTTAGCGAGATTATATAAATGATGGACCATGGCGAAGTGTTTGAAGAATACTTTGAAAAGCATTTTTAGAATCAAAACTCATTTTTTTCAACAATTAAGCATATGGCAAGTTATATGGATAAATGAGGTAAAATTGAACTAATTTGCGTGGATAGAGAACGGACCGAAATCAGGGAATACATTAATCTAACAAACCTTAATATCTGCTGCAGCTTGAGGTGCCCAGTTATCCTCCAAGAATATACGATCAGGAGCACAACGGAAATGCCAAATTCGGCGATGATTTCGATCGAGACCGAGAGGAGATACTCTCTGAGTGCTGGCAAAATCATGTTTGGCCAATTCGTAGGATCTCTCGGCTGCAGCGAGGTGACGTTGCTGAACTTGCACCACAGCCAGCATAGCTCGACGTTCACGCTCCTCGCGTTCGCGTGCCTCTCGCTCTGCCGCAGCTTGGGCTGCAAGCACACGCCGACGCTTGACTAAGGATGCCAAATCGCAGGCGGATAGGTCTGTAATCAATAAAAGCAGCCAGACATTTGCTTAGGAATCGACATAGAGGAAGTTATAAAAAAATACCCATGAAAAGCGATAATCCTAAGAATAAATTACAAAGATGATCCTAAACAAAAAGCTTAATCCAATATGAATCCAAAATGCACTCCGTTATCTTGTGAGAAATATATTTTTAAATTCAGATAGTAAATATTTTTTTCTCAAACTTG